CTTTCTGCTATTTTGGATATTAACTTGTGATTTCTGGACTTATAAATTGATTTGTTTTGGAAACTGGTATTTGGGTTATTTTGTATTCCTGAACCACTGGAAACAAATTGGGACCCCTTTGGAGGGACAAAGCTGTTGATGCTCCAGGGGTTCCAGGATCCTGAGGATTCCAGTGCTCACTGAAAGTGTTATTCAGGGAGATCCTCTCGGTCCCCGGATGCAGGGAGTTCCAAGCAAGATCCCTGGGATTTTATTAAGACATTAAAAGGTTTATAAAAGGTATATAAAGGCATATAAAAGTATATAAAAGTATATAAAAGATGTACCTAACCAACATAGAAATGGAACTCTATAATATAATATGATTGACTTATAAAAAGTTGGGATAGAACCGTAAAAGAGGAGGTGTGATGCCTCAGAGCTTCTTGGAATTTTTATCTTTTGTAGATTTTAGAAGTAGTGGTGTAGTGATTGTAGATTTTAATGTAGCTGCATTCTATCCCTTACCCTGTTTGCACCTTAGCATGTTTGCACATCCCCAACCCTGTTACCCCATCCCATATCAATCCCTCTAAATCCCGTTAGCGTGTTTAGTCTTCTTTTCAAGGTAGAGTTGTAGAAAAGCCTGGACCAGAAGACATCACACAGACACAGCCCCCTTCAAGCCCAGAACTTTGGAGGAGCTCCAAGGACTGTGGGTGCTGCGAAGAAGATGAATCTGAGGAAGAAGGGGTCCCAAAGACCCCAAAGCCAATTCCCAAACGGGTGTGTGGGGGCAGAACGGGGCAGAACTGGGGGGTGGAGAGATCTGGGGTTGGATGGACCTTGTTATAAAATCACAGAGCCACTGCCTGGGGGGTGCACGTGGTGTGTGTTCCTCTGGCCTGAGGCTCCACTAAAGGACCTGCTCTCTTTATCTCATCTCATCCACTCCCCTGGCCTGGAGTCTTTTCCTCCGTGCTCTCTTAAGGTAATAGGGACTGGACCTACCAGGTGCTGGGGATGCTGGAAATCCCCCCCGGTACCGGGTGGAGCACGTCAGCCTGGAGCACCCCCTCAGCCGGCACTGGGGTA